CACAACAGGAGGGCATAAAACTTGAACAAAGTTCTTCGTTCCTAATCAACCGACATAGATAATAAAGAGGAAAAATCATTCAGATAGTTATGACTAGTATTCCACACAACTTATAAAGACATACCAGATGCTGAATAGCTCTAATGTGAGCTTGGTTCCCTAGTGAACTTTCTGAAAGGTTGTTGATAGTAAAAGACTTTAATTTCGCTCTCATGCAAGCAAGTGGGTAGTAATATTGCTCTTCTTAACATCTTTAAGTATAATATATTTCTTTAAAACTTCAAAATTTTGAATTCATTGATTATTCTGTACAAAATAATCATACAGTGATATGGTAGTTTTAGTCATTTCATAGTATTAGGATTGAATCTAAGCTTATTGTTCCATCTTATCATAAGTCTAGTGATGATAGTTCCTTTTTACCAATGCTCACTGTTATCCAGAGCTATAAATATTGCTTGATAGTGAGATTAAAGCTTGAGTATGACTCCGTCATTAAAATGAAAACTGCGCTGTAAATTCTGCAAAGTCCATATTCTATTGAGAGTATTTCTGAACCAGAGTATATGTGACGGTTCAGAGTAAGTCTAAATTTTTACTAATCATTTCTAAAACCAAATCTAATTGTAATCTGCATGAGACGATATACGTGTTGATGAAGATGGACATTTTATCGATTTGGTACTTCAAAAATATTTCTTTGAGCTCTTTTTTTTTATGAAATATAAAACTTTTGAGGTGTTGTTAATCTATATAAAAAATAATGTATGTCAATTGATGCCTCTTTTACTCCTCATCTCGCAGGACTCTGATAATGTTAAACATATATCTGGCAAGATTATAGCCAACTAGACTTAGTACTCAGTAGTGAATTGAAATCTAAAGCCAAACTTTTCGGAGTCTAAACAACATCTCATTATTAGATTCATACTATTTGGACTACTGTTCAATGAATGAAAGATACGTAGTTCGGCTGTTGATAATAGTGTGGTACATTTTACGGTCTTCATTCGAAGGAAAGAGTTATTTCTTTATACTTTTGGAGTTTCGATACAGGTCTCAACCATAGAAGAAATATTCGAAATTTAGATCGTAAGAATGAAAGGAAAGTTCAGATGACTTTTAGCCATTCTCTTTGTCAAAAATCTGCTTTTATATAAACTGGTACTATCATAGATAATATAATTTCTGCCAGCGAGTTCTTCATCATTTGCTTTTCGTATTAATCACCTTTCGTAGGTAATTTGACAAGTAGAGTGGTTAAAAACATTTGGATAAAATTCAAAGTTCTTATCGTTAAATTAGGCTATTTAAAGTATAGACCTTTTCAGTGTGTACCAACCTGAAAGTTTAAGTTTTCAGCTGTCTACAGTGTTTACAAGATGCTCAAAACTGAAAGTTTCAGTAAGACCTCTTATTCTGTTTTCTTGATAGTTAAAGGAAACTTTTCGAATAACATCATAAAAAGATTGACTTCATATTTTTGAAAAAGGTTAAAAAAATATACCAAGGTGAGAATTTCAGATCTATTTTCCTTATATATGGAACTGATGCTAACATGGGTTTCTCGTTTAATACTTTTTACAATCTCTTTTTTAAGTATGAAACATATGTATATATCTAATGCATCTCACCACCTCTTTCCATTCACCAAAAAAAAAATTAAAGAATCTGCTGAAACTTTGAGCTTTAATCATGCTACATATACTTCTAACATCTTAAAACTACAGGGTGGCACAAAAGTCGCTTTACCCAACAACAAAAAATTGAATATCTTCATTGCGGCTTGGCCAAACGGGCTCATTTTTTTTTATCAAAAATGGAGGCATATTCACGTTCCAAATCCATACGAACAAGGTTAGTGAAAAACCTTTGTTAAATATCACTATTGACCTCAACAACAAAATTTTACTTGTTCTTATATAAGAAAAGAAAACAATATACTTAACAAAGGTTTTCACTACTCTTGTTCGTATGGATTCGGAACGTGAATATACCTCCATCCTTGATAAAAAGATGAGCCCGTTTGGCCAAGCCGTAATGAAGATATTCAATTTTTTGTTGTTGGGTAAAGCGACTTTTGCGCCACTCTGTATAATATCATGGTCGGTACACAGCAACAGCAGCTAACGTTTCAAATTTATAAGTTTGATAGTGAGACCTTCACTTTGACTCCAACATGTTCCATTTCCTTAACTGACAATATAAGCGTCTCTGCTAGAGATGATAGTTTGTGTCACATGCACTTTTAAAATTGTTTTGCCGTGTTCGTGAAGAAAAAAATTCAAGTTTTGCATATCGAGCTTAATCTGTAGACAATCTTTTTTACAAAACCAAAACTTGTTAAGTTACTTCGTTGAAACTTTGACTTTCATAATCAGCTTTTCGATCACACTTCTTTGGAACACTACCCACGGTTTAACTCACGAGTTTATCTTTATTTTCTAAAAAGATCATTTATAATCTACGATTCAGTTGAGTTACATTTACCTATTTAGGATGAATCATCCAATCTATGGCAGAAGAATTCTTGATGAAAAATATCAAACAAAACATTTTATTATACAGAATCATTTCTGTCCTAAATTGTATGGTTTTTCTGATAGATCTGTCATGGATTGCAATTCAACGTTTAGCGAATCTTAGTTGAGCATTCTCAACAACCTTTATAAAAAAATAATCCTTCTTTGCCGAAAAGGCTCTTTCTCTCGCGGAAAAATTAGAGACATAACGATACTAGTACAGTAACATGAAAGCGGGTCAATACAAGCTCCATCCAGTCCTCATAGTTCAGTACTATATTGTTGCTGGAACATGCGTCATTATAAGGTTTTAAAGGATTCTTAAAGATTTCTACAGATTTCTAAAGATTTCCAAAGATTTCCAAAGATTCCCAAAGATTTCCAAAGATTTCTAAAGATTTCTACAGATTTCTAAAGATTTCCAGAGATTCCCAAAGATTTCCAAAGATTTCTAAAGATTTCCAAAGATTTCCAAAGATTTCTAAAGATTTCCAAAGATTTCTAAAGATTTCTAAAGATTTCCAAAGATTTCCAGAGATTTCAGGGGTTAAAATCTGCTTTTTCCCCCTTGCCCAGAAGTCACGCACCCGAAAAGAAATTGAATATCTCCATAACGCCTTTAGCAAACTGGCTGATTTTTTTACCACTAGTAAACGCATGTTCACACTCCATATCCATAAAGACAAGGCGAGAGTGAATCCTTTTTTTAAGTGTCACTATTGACCTTAACCAAAAAATTTTAATTTTTCACAGACAGAAAAAAACAATGTAAAGAGTGGCGCAAAAGTCACTTTACCGAAAAAAAAATTGAATATCTCCATTACGGATGCGGGTGTCGGTATCGATGTGGGTGTGGGTGTGAGTGTGGGTGTGGGGTGTGGGTGGGTGGGTGTGGGTGTGGATGTGGGTCATCGACGTATCCAAGAATTTTTTTAGGGGAGGGACCGCCATGGAAAAAAGGTAATTTTTAAGTTGGAAAAAATAATAAACCCGTACCCCCCTTCAGGTATTTAAACATGTTAGGGGGGAGGGGATCCGTTCCCCTATTCCCCCCCTCTAAATACGTCGCTGGTGTGGGTGTCAGTGTGGGGTGTGGGTATGCGGATGTGGGTGCGTGTGGGTGTGGGTGTGGGTGTGGGTGTGGATGAGTGAAGTGAGTAAGGATACCCACACCCACTCACACCCCCACATCTCACATCCCACACCCACACCCACCCACACCCCACACCTACCCACCCCCCACACCCACCCATCACCCACACCCACATCCCACACCCCACACCTACCCACCCCCCACACCCACCCACCACCCACACCCACACCCACATCCCACACCCCACACCCACACCCAAAATGCTTAGAAAATTGTGATATGTATTTGTATTATGCTAATCCTAACTTATACTGATACCAAAGCATAAAGTTATTGTTTTTAACGCTAACACACAAGTATTAAATTACGTTTTTAATGCTAATACAAGGATATTACAATTAGTATTATTTAATGCAATGCTAATGCTAAGCCGGTGTCTCTAATTTATAGTTCAATAAAATAAAGTTAGGTATCAAAACGCAACAATTTTAAGGTCTTCTTAACTTTACTTATATGACATTGTTAAATGCAAAATATCTGATCTCTACATATCAATGCGAGAAAAAAAATTTGAAATTTTCCACTCAAAAGACCAAGTAACCGATGATTGGATCAGCTAACTTTATCGTCATCATTTAAGACCAAAGGATACTTCAAACATCTTAATATAAAGAATAAAAATTTCGAATCAATACTTTTTTAAAGATACTTGTGTATGGAAACTACATATACACCTTTATCGGGTAATGATAAAATGAGTAACCGTTCTTCGAAGAAAAAAAACGAGAGAATAGACACATTGTCTATCAACCAAAAGAAAAATATTGATTAGTTATATGATGAATTGTGAGAGTAACTACCTATGGCTTTCGGCACGATGGTGTCTTGTGTCATCTGCACATTCATAACTATGTTTTTTCTTTATTAAATGCAACTTATATGGATATAATCATACAGAAGAGAGCAAAGAGAGAAGGTCAATCCTCGGTGAAAAGGTCACACAAACGAAGAATTAAAGGTCAATAACCGCTATAGATTATTGGACAGATACTTTTCTTTTCTCAAGTTGCGAATGGCTGGAAGTGACCGATCCCATGGATCATCACTCGTCATGTCCGTATTCAAGGACATTTGTCGAGCAATTTTGGTCTGATCGTTTTCTGTTCATATTGTATGTAGTAGATCATTCTTTGAATTCAACACAAGCGAGTAGGGTGTTCCATTACAATTATCCTCTTCCCAACATACCAACAATAGTTTCAATTGTCATTTAAAATATGTTCATATACCTATTTAACATTTTTCTTAATTGATCCAAACATGTGTGTGAATCTTTTTTTATAGACAATATTATTATTTAATCATCTCTCTATATTACAAAGACAATGAATACTGATTCCAGCTTATCACCAACAAATAAAGATTCAATATTTATGAACACATCTTCAAATTTGAATATGATGCAAACAGATACATCTCATCATGAACAATATCAATCAACTACTGATGATCTTGTTCCAGTATCAAATGATGCTTCATCATCAGTCAATAGTATGACATCATCATTAACATCTTCTATGTCCGTTACAAATTCGATGTCTAATTCTATATATCCATGGTTAAGAGGAGGTATTTATAAGTTGATTGAGAAAAATGATGTATTGAAAATATATAAATGTAATTTATGGAAATGATTAACATTTGTATCATTATTTTGTTTATTTATGATTACTATGGAGTCGTTCTTTTTTTTTTCTTTATAGAATTTAATTTTGAACATAAACGTAGTCGAGCAGCTTATACAAGTCATCAACTACTTGAATTAGAAAAAGAATTTCATTATAACAAGTAAGAAAAAAGAATATTTTAATATTTATTTATAAATATTAATAGATATTTAACACGTCATCGACGAGCTGAAACTGCTCATGACCTTGATTTAACTGAACGACAAATTAAAGTAATAAAATCTTTTTTTTTTATCTTGATCTATTTGTTTTCTTTGTTTAGTGTTGGTTTCAATGTCGGTAAGAATAAATCGTGAACTTTTTTTTTTATTTATTTATGGTTCTTTTTCATGTTACATTAGTCGATCTAAATGGCAACATGATAGATCTAAATTACACAATGATCCGCATGTTCAACTTGAAGCAAATGCAACAAATCATCATTCGTCTGCTATATCAACTAATGATACATCATGATCATCGATATTAAATGTTAAAAAAGAAAATAACCATCCATATAATATCAATGAAAATAATAAAAAAATATTTAACTGTATATATAAAGACTTTTGACTGCTAGTCGATTGCAATAGAATGTATACTTTCTATTGCAATCAAATATTAAAAAATAAATTTATGATGGATTGTCAAATATTTCTCCATTAAAATATTTATCATGTTTCAGTGAATGCTACACGACAGAAATAACATTTAAAGAGCTTGTACAATGTGTCAAGGATTTAAAAAATAAATGGATAATTGTTTATTGAGACGTCATATAGATGCCGGCAAAAAAAAGCGTTGCGATAAAATCTATTCATTGATATATTTGAAATAACGAAATGAATTATCAGTTCTTACCCCAATGCAAAAATACGGTCCGTAGTTCACTGAAAATGGTCATTTAAAAATAAAGTCACGACGAAAAATAGAGATAACCGTAATTTCTATTCTGGTTATACATTTTGAGCCGTCTCATATAACAGTCGAACCTATTTCAATACGTTTACGGAAGAGAAATCTTTCAGATAGTTTTTCATGTCGATATTCATTGGCATAGCCATGTGTTTGCTCAATAATTTCAATCAATAAGAAGAACAACAACTTTATTTTATTATTAACGCCCAACCACAACTCTGCGAAGCTTTAAGATGATTACTAAATCTTCGCGATTATCTTTTTAAGCAGCAATCAAACGAGTACTTCGTCAAATCGTTTTGAAAGTCAGTACTTGATAAAAGGAGTAAGATAGTATAGATTGACACTTCTACCATTAGTTTGAAAATTTCGTCTTAGAAAATGATAGCAAATGTTACTTTGTCTTATTGCATATTTCTAATTTTTTACTTGATCTTGAATATAATTCCATCGACGACTTATGCTCAGCAATTGTTTTAAACACCATTTAATATGATGTTTCAAACAGAATTTTGATCCGCAAAAGTAAACAGTGGTTCATTCGCATAGAATTTTTTTTTGAAAAAAATGATAAAAATGTTTTTTTTCAGAAATCAAATGTTTTTTATTTAAATATCTTTGATAAAAGAATCAAACATAATTTCTATAGGTCTATTCCAAGTGACTGTAACTCAGAGGTTAATATATATTTCAACAGGCATCCAAATTACGAAGAGAATTGTTCTAGTATGAAATTCTGGCAAGTGGTTTCGATTGACACTTTTTTTGAAAAATAGAAAAACAGAATTTTCATGAGTGAAGATTATCGGCAGTTTTAAGCTCCCGACTTGTTTAACATGACACTTTAAAGATGAAGTAGAACGTTTCATATCGATACAAAGTTTTTTAAATTGAAAAAAATCTGCACTGGTCAAATGTCTCATTTCGATGCCCTCGAAAATCCATGGAATAAATGCTACAATGAAGCATGCACATAGACACTTATGATATCAAACTTGTTTTTCAAATCTGCAGCATCTATTCAACAAATGCAGTAAATAGTATCAAATATAGTTTGCAAGCATTGGTTACTTATCATTTATTCGCAAAACTCTATAATCAGGAGTATCTTAATGCATGCATCCCACATGACGGTTGATGTTTATAATAAGAAAAGAGGCACAAGGGCTGTCCATTCATTCCCTTTCATAGTATTTTTCTTTTTCAAATAAGTTAACAGGACGGATACTACTGGTACTTCAGACTAGTCATATTAGTAGTCGATATAAATAGGCATGGTCAGTTATCGATATCGAGTACTTAGGTTTCCTATCTTTTTATTATCAACTAAAAACCCTAACCATGCTCGAATCAAATAATCATCCTCATCACGAAACCACAAAAGAATAGTACCGGTTTTCAAAAAAGTTCTTTGATCGAGCTGAAATTTTGCATAACAGTAGGGATCAATAAGATACATTGAGCGCTCATTATTTTTTGTAAAGGAAATGGATGGATATAAGCAGCTCTGCAGTCTTCCTTAAAATACATTTATTTCTATCAGGTTCGAATAAACGATGGTGTGGGTGTGAACAAACAGAAGGCTCATACCCATACCCACGCCCACACACCCGCACCCACAGCCACACCTAGCCACACACACACCCACACCCATAGCCTGTGTATGGCTAGCAGCTTCCATCTTATCATCGTCTTTTTGAAGACGTTGACAATGCAGGTGCTAGTCATACATACATAGATGTATGTTTGCCTAACCATTGCCGGCTTTGTCCACTGTACGAGCCAACAGAATACGGAGGGTATTCCTGGTCGCGTGTGCGCGAAATTGTGCAGCTGCTTGCTTCGGTAGATTAAGAGTTCAAAATGGCCGGTTTATTTTGTCTTTTCAAAAGAAAAAAAGATTACATTTTCTTTTTTAAATTTTGAATATTTCTTTCTGTTCGTACAATACTCGGATGTCCTGATGGAAGGACATTTTTTTATTATTTGTAGTGCCTTTTCGTAATATGAAAGTGCTTTCGAGTACTTGTCCATGTTTTTATACACCGTACCAATGTTGTTGTAGGATGAAGCCAAGTCGAGATTATTCGGAGGGAGAGCTATTTTTCGAATTTCAAGTGATCGTTCGTACGATGAAAGTGCTTTCGAGTACTCGCCCATGTTTTGATACACCAGACCGATGTTGTTGTAGGAAGACGCCAACGAGGGATGATTCGGAGGGAGAGCTATTTCCCGGATTTCAAGTGATTGTTCGTATGATGAAAGTGCTTTCGAGTGCTCGCATATGTTTTGATACACCAGACCGATGTTGTTGTAGGAAGAAGCCAACGAGGGATGATTCGAAGGCAGAGTTATTTTCTTGATTTCAAGTGATCGTTTGTGCGATGAAAGTGCTTTCGAGTACTCGCGCCTGTGTGGGTATGGATGTGGGTGTGTGGGTGTGGGGTGGGTGTGTGTGGGTGTGCGTGTGAGTGTGGGTGGGTGTGAGCCATGTTTCTAATTCATTCCACATCCACACCCACACCCACACCCTGTTCTATAACTAACATCGACAATCGATTGACGCGAGAACTTTCTAATCATTCATCGGAAACTCATATTCGTCGTTTCTACTGAATCATTTCACCAGAAAACGTAGGAACATTGATTCTTCGAAAGTCTTATCCAAAAGATGAACTAAATAATACTGATTGGTTTTTTTTCATTTGGTGATATACGTCGATTTACTAGACTTCGTTCTGTACATCTTCAGAATATGAATGAGAACGATCATGCGTTATCTCACTACTCTCTCCACATTTAGGGTGTGGGTGTCAATGAAAGATGTTGGACTCCATATACATCTACACTCCACATCTACATTCTACATCTACACTCGAATTATTCAATGTCTTCATGTCTCCACGATCAGAAAAGAATAATAATAAAATTTTATATTCTTTGTAAAAAAAAAACCAAACAAAATACTCGCTAACTTTATAAAACAAATTCTTCAATCAAATTTAACCAATCATTCAATGTCCTTATTATTCAGAAAAGGTTATAAAGAAAATTTATATTCATTGCAGAACAACGAAATACCTACTCAGCGTATAAACATATATATGCTACCATATCTAACTACCTGCACGTGTTTTGTTAATGTAAGAGAGTTGATGAAAATATGCTTTTACTTTTTTTTCGTATATTAAATAAAGTTAACATTCGTTCCGTACGAGACGAGAAAAAAACGTAACGTACAGGCTGTTCTGTCTGACTATTTAGCTTTTTCACTGAAGTGAAACAAAAGCAATCTATGCATCAGTGATCAATATTATTAAAGAGAGTGACAAGTGTATTTCTCTTCACATTTTTTTTGTTTTCTTGCATTTATTTGAATTCATAGTTAGTATATTCATTCGTTCGTTTTTGACTCCAATTATCGTTGGGCATTATTTAAAGGTAACTATGAATATACTATTTTCATTTAGTCTGCACTATTTAGATGGTATCTGTTCATGTCAGAGGTCGTTGCCCTGATGAATAGCGTAATTCAGATTCCTGTTCTATTTTCGTTCTTGTGACTAGGCAAGAAGATCAGTAGCTTACGAACAAGTCGAGAATACGGAAGATGTCTCCTATTCTTTGAAACTTTCTTGCACAATCCATTCTCGTGATTTGAATATTGTGTTCTACGTGTTGTATACATAAGTTACTTACAAACATGCTGATCGATTCTTACGTGAAGCTCCAGTTCATGTATCAGAATCGACTTCAACCTCGTCTTGGATATTCTTTGCATATATATGATGAAATAAAATACAGAAGGTTTTTATCTGCAATATAATTTAAATAGAAGTAGATTCAGTAGTCCAGAATTGCTAGGTGCTCTAAAACAACATTCAATATGTTGTGTATATGACACAACTCGATCAGGCAATTTTTTTGATAATAATATGACACAGATTAAACAAAACTTTTTCATTAGCAGTTCATCATTGCACTAAAACCTGAAACGCACAGAAGAGATTAAAGTTGGAATCACCATTTCTGATGCTATTTTGACTAAAACATGACACAGATGGAGTCAGTTCAGTTTCTTGAAGATCAGTACTCGTACTAGTCTGAATAGGACAGACCTGACTGAACCGGTCAATCTGACATCTAAAACGACACCGGTCCTGGTCATGATTGGTAACAATTCTCTTTTAGGACAATGTTATTTGACATGGCTTGGTTGCAAAAAAAAAGCTTGTTAGCGCAGCTCCTTTGAGGCTGAAATGTGGAACTCACGTATCTTCTTTAATTTGCAATGGTGTAGCCAGAGAAGGGATAAATGGACAATTGCGTATTTCTTTTGAAGATTTGCCCATTGTAATTTTTATGAGTAGGTTTTTGCTCATCGAAGTTTTACTTTTTCAGAATGGTCTATTTATTTTTGAATTAGAGAGTCACTCTATTTTTATTCTTCCGTCTGAATCACACATGGACTTTTTGCTTGTTCTTTTTGTGAACAATTAAGAAAAGAAGAAGGAAAGAATTGCTTCTGGTATTTGAACTAGGATTATCAGATGAAAAAC